ATAAGTGGGCTCCATCAATTTTTTTTAGTAGGACCCATTTATCTCACGCTCACTCAATGAATGATATATATTTGAGTTTTATCTTTTAAATTTCATTTAAATTATATAACATTTTCTCTGTTGAAAATATCTTATTCGTTGATCCCACTCTATGCAAGTGTGAGACTCAATGTCTCACTTAACTCAATTAAAAGTAGCACTAGTATAATATATAAACTCAAATTCTTTTTAGAAGACTAGTCCGTGGGAGATTTGAGTTTCTCCAATAAATACTTTTTTCTTATTAAAGAGTTAATTATAATTTATCCCTTTAATTATGTCTTTTGTTGCAATCAGCTTCAGATGATTTCAAACTCTGTAATTTGCTCTTTCTAACTTTCAAGTGGACTAAATTGACTAATAACAATGGTTGCAACATGAAAGTACCATTATACCTTCAATCTTGTACATTTTTCTCGTATGTTTTTTTCGAGATACCAATTCTATCTTTAAAAATAAGAAAATAGAAAAGCTAATATTTTAGGGGTGATTGTATCTTTTCAACAAAGTAAGATCACGTGAATTTCTCATGTCTAATTTACGTCATTTTTTACAATCTAAAATTAATTGTTAGAGTGAATTGCAAAATATTCAAACTTAAAAGGAAATGTTTGTTAAAATTAAAACTTAAAGGGATGAATGCAAAATTATCCAAAGTTGAAAGGAATATTTTATAATTAACCCTTTATTAAAAATACTGTTAACATCCCCTTTATCCGATTCCACTTGACTGAGGTAGTAGTGGTTCCTAAAAATACCATGTTTGGTGAAAACAGTACGAGGGTGAGGGACACTAGCTAGAGACAAAGACTTGGTCAAAACCATATTTTTTGACTCCGTCACGAAGGTGAAAATTTTCAAAAAAAAAAAAAAAATCATCTCAATCACCTTTTATTTTTAATTTATTTATACAAAATAATTTTGAGATATAAATACTTGCATTCATAAATTACACATTGAGTCAATTAGTTAATCACTTATGTTAAAATTAACCGATAAATAAGACAAATTATGTTTAGAGTAGTCGTTAATTTGTCTCAATTAACCACCATTAATCTTAACTGTAGGGATTAATTGAAATAAATTATATAATTCAAGAGAAAAATTAAGACAATTAAACATAAAAAACTATAGTTCAAGGGGTATTCATGAAATTTATTCGTCCTTGAATTATGCGTCGCATTAAAAAAAAGGTCAATGAAATGTTTGATTATATTTTTTTGGAAAGAAATGACGAGATTCGAACTCATAACTTTAAGATTTAACATCAAAAAAGGTGAGTGTTTGTAACTAGGATAACTCATACTTGAAAGTACGATATAACGTATGTGAAAAAATATATTGGTAATCGTTAGATGAGTTTATTTTAAGATCGTCGAATAAATTTATTAATGTCTAACTTATTTTATATTATAAATTAGAGATTTCGTATGCGTCACAGCTCATATAACTATACCTCCATTTGGCAATTCCGCAGATTGGGATAACACTAACACTAAAAAACAAAAACTTCATCCTCTGCTGTGGTGCCATGTGTTTTGGCTGTGTCTTAGAAAGTCGTAACGGACAGCAGAGTCCTGTCTGTATATTTTTCTACATTACAATTTCTATAAATTATTTTCCGGTCCCTTTCTCTCGTGGCTTCATCTGCCTACGCTCTCTTATTTAAATCCAAATCCGTGTCCTGTTTTCAAGGGTGAATTTATTACGTTACATTCCAAAAGTTATCTCGACACATTTTGAATTTTAATATTTTTTTTTCTTTTTTGGAGAGGGGTAGTCGAATCCTTAACCTCAAGAAAATAAAATTTTTATGAGAAAAAGAGTATTATTAGACCAAATGTCTACCGGTGAATTTTTAATAAAATAATAATGTCACACCGCTGTACAAAAAAACTTATTATTGAAGTGTGTAGATGGTGATTATAATAACACTACCACTTAGATGGTCACACCAATAGATCATTTTGGGGATACTTTAATGTTTCGTTTGGTATGATGAAAAATAAAAACTGAAAAGATGAAAAATTAGAAGAATGAAAAGTTGGAGGGATACATAAAACATTATGTTTGATAAAAAAAGAAAATAAAAAAGATAAAAAAATAGATGAATTAGTTTTCTTTTCAACACATTAAAATCAATTCCTCTAAAATTAATATCTTTTAATCTATGCATATATCATATTTATTTATTCATATTATGTATGCATTAATTTTATATATAAATATGGTAATAAAATATACATTTATATTTTTTTTGTCCTACTAAACACAAAAAATCAATTTTTTCTACTTTTCATCCTTCCTACCAAACACAAATAAGAGAATGAAACATTCCTTCTTTCAAGGATAAAAAAATGTATGTTTCTAATTTTTTATCCTTTTATTTTTCAATCCACCAAACCAAACGGACCATAAGAAAGTCGTAGTTTGGCAAGCCAATACTGAGTTCCAGGACAGGCTTCCGTGGTAGCTTCTAACCTAACTCGAGACTATTTCACTTTGGATATCAAGATGCATGTCCTGAAAATCAAGCTATATATTGTATTCGAGACACTTGTCACGTGTATATTGGCTTGCACCACATGTCTAGCTTTCCTCTATTAATACACTTTTATTCTCACAAGAAGAGAGAACGAATATTACTTCTAAGTAAATTTGGGAATAGACACTCTGAGGTACACATTCTTATTCAAATTAGTTTGGTCGATATCAACTCACTATGTCACCTTCTTCAATACACACAACTTAAAAAAGTTTCCATGTCATTTTTGAAATTTTAAGGAACAAGATGTCAATGAACTGAATATAGATGAAGTCAATTTAAAAAAAAATATACAATACGACTTGTTTATATACTAATTATAGACACAAATTCATACATGACATGAACCAAAATGACACAATTCGTTAGACATAAATTTATAAATGAATCGGGTATAAATAAAATATTTTTTTGACACAAATCCTTTTTAAGTCTCGACACAATTAATAGACAGGCAGACTAAATCACTCGTCTTGTTCCATGTTGTTGGGTAAGCAAAAACACACCTAATCATTGCAAATAAAGATTATCATCACGGAATTTGGAACAATTTACTTTGCATGGTGCTTAATTAACAATCAAAACTAAAATTTTAATGGGGAATAACACGTGGGAAATCTATCAATTCTCACCCGAATGATTCCAAATCAATGGTCTCAAATAATTTGTTCTACTTCTGTCTTCTTTTCAAGCACCCTTTCCACTAGGACACTTAGATGGTCTACAAATCTCTCTCTCTCTCTCTCTCTCTCTCTCTCTGTGTATGTGTGAATTGGCAGAACATTGGACCATTGGAGAATTCACCTTGGGTGCTCCGAGGCACAAAACAGAACTGTCTAAGAACCATTCTCACTTCTTGTACTCTATCGATTGAGGGATCCTTCGTGAATTTGAGTGTTTTTTTTTTATCAAGATTACTCTTATTTTAAATTTATAAATAAGGAATACTTTTTTTATTGCTAAGATAAGTCTTTAGACTGATATTTTAAAGAAAAAAAAAGTGTATTGCTTCCAATCAATAACTTACCAAGGCTCCATGATTAATTTGCTTACTATTTGACGGAGACAAGCCAGAATTTTCAACGTAGGGAGAATATAAAATAGCCAAAAGAGATTTTTTTAGACTTTAGAGGGACAAAATTTGAAATACATAAATTTTAGGGATCGGTCTAATAATTATTGCACATTTAAAAAATAAATCAAGGGTGATGTCCACTTTGTCAAGGGTGTACATGGCTTTGTCAATACATTTCTCGACATTTTGGCAAAGATCAAATACACGGCTTCATCACGATAAAATTCTTTTTCATCAACTCTTTTCACCAAATTTTCCACTAGCATCAAATTATTATTAGAATTTCAATAAAACTCAATAATCAAACAATTCAAATGAAAATTATTATAGGAAAGTCAATAAATATAATACAACATTGTTCGTCTGTCAATTTATTCAGAAAATAAATGATAAACAATTTTATCTTAATTTTAGAGAGAATAATTATCAAAATTGAAAATGTAAACGCATTACTTTGAGGAATGAGTAATTATCATCACTTCAGATCAGATCGCCCATGAAATATATCCGTTATATTTAATTTTTTTTGATGGATCCGATTTTTGATACACGTGACCCTTATTCCTATGGTTGATAATTTCTAAAGCTAGATTATAGCAGCCTCGTCAAAACTAGTGGTCTTCACAACTTCTTCTGTTTTAGAGGGGTCCAGGTGTTAGCCGTAACACTCATTAGCCATAGAAATTAGTTACAAAACACATGAATCACATGCAATCATTTTAGTAATTTTTTTAAGATAGCCAGGTGGCTCACTATGGTTGGTAGGTCAAATTTAGCTAATATGGTAAAAAAAAAAAAAAAACCCAAAAAACATAAATATACTAATAAAATATGAATCTTAAACAAAATTGAAATAAGGATATAATATTTTAAACAAATAAAAGCTAAACCAAAATCACCGTTATATCAATAATACATTCTAATCCCATTTTATAATTAATTTAAGCAATTTTTTTTTTCTTTTTTAACTTTTCCAATACTTTTCTTTTTATCTTATAATATTTAAATTATCAAGTAGTTTAAGTGATAATAAGAATGAGTTGTAAAATCAGACGTTTTGAATTCAAATTTTAATTTTGTTAATTTCTTAGAGTTATATCATGAGAGATTTATCTCATGAACATCTTAATCCGGACATAAATGACATTCATTTAATCGGATCAAGAAAAAAATTAATTGAGATGAATATACTCTAACCCAAAAGTTGAAAAAAAAAAAATTCCATCAATTTTCTAGTGTGGCCGCCACAACACCCGAACAGACCCCACTTTTCTTCTCATTTTTATTTGGTGGTAATTGTAATTGTATTTTCGCATCTTCAATCATATTTGTGCTAAGCAACTTTGTGCGTGTGTGTATGAGAGAGAGAGAGAGAGAGAGAGAGGACAGGAGGGTGGAATTTTTTTCCCTTTCCCCTTCAAGAAAGACTCTTCGGAAATGGGAATCCATTAAGCAGAAAATAAGTTGCGGAGGTCAGAAAAGGGTCTCCTTCGAATCATCTTACGCTTGACTGGCTCTTTGTATGTTATTTTCAGGTACTCACCCAATAATTTTCTGGTCATCATTTATCATTGATTTAGCCTTGTACTGGGTTTTGTTTGTTTTGTATTTGCTATACCTCCTTTTTGTTTTTGTGTCTCTTAATTTAGTAAATTTATTGCCTGGTTGTTTGGTCATCAATAGCTTCTTTCTTCAATTTGATGTATTTATCCTTTTCAGTTTTCATGTTTGATGGCCCATGTAAAGCAAGTTTTTTTTTTACTTTTTGCATTTGATTTTTCTCAAATGCTGTTTTACCAAATTTCCATGTTTGTTAGATCTGGATATGTTTTGGGATTTTAATTAATGGGTTTCATTTATCCAACTCTTTTGGACTATCGATCTTTCTTATGTCCAATTATTTTCACCTTAGCCATGCAAAAATATGAGTTTGTGAATCGAAAACTAGGAAAGGAAATAGTCCCAGGATCATTGAATGTTTCCAGGGGTTGCGCGTAGGTGGATTGATGCATAATGAATCTAGAATCTTACAGTTGGTTCTTATCAATTCTCTTTTGTTGTATTTTTCTTCCCAATTGTAAGTGTCCTTAAAAACTTGCCAAAATGTCCAAACACCACTTAGATGAGTTGAGTTGCCAATGTTTTTTGTTTGGTTGAGGGATCTAAGAGAGTTATAGGAGTATCTCCAACTCTTACCTTTTTTTTAAACTCAAATTTAAATTTGGGTAAAAAACCCTTGAAATCCTTCTCCAATGCTATACCAGAACCCATATTATACCCAGCCATTGCTATTCAGTTGTTATTCGTTGTACTCTGAACTTGTTAATTTGTTGGGCTAAAAAATGATTCCATTGTATTCGGTGTTTCTTGTTTGTCTGTCAGGATTACATCCATTGCACAGAACTCCTTGATTTTGTAGTCCTGACTTTGAGCTGGTAAAAAGCTGAGTTGGTTTAATATTCATGGGTGGATTTGACGACCATGTTACTATAATGGGAGATTGGATGCCTCCCAGTCCAAGCCCGAGAACATTTTTCTTTCCAATGGGAGATGATGTTAGCTTAAGGTCAATTGCTGAACGAAGTACAGGTGATAGTAAAAATGGGGCCTTTTTTTCATTACCCGACGAACAGATTATGCCTGGTAGTACTAATGAAAAGAATGGGGAAATAGCTGGTGATCAAGCAACTGAGTTAAGTGCATTTGCTGAGCAGAAAATGAGCTCTCGAGGAGGTCTTTTGGAAAGGAGGGCAGCCAAAGCGGGTTTTAATGCTCCAAGATTGAATACAGAAAGCATTAGATCTGCTGACCTTTCACAGAACTCAGAAGTTCGATCCCCTTACTTGACAATTCCACCTGGCCTCAGTCCAACAACCCTTCTGGATTCACCTGTCTTCCTTTTGAATTCACTGGTAAGCTTAAAACATGGATACATTTTTGTTAACTCTTTAAAAATACTTGTCATTGCATGGAGAGCAAACGTGTAAAATTACTTAATAGGACTTGCTGGATCTGTGTTGTTTTGGCAGTATTTAAACTGTAGGACACCTGTTCTATATGCTACACTCCAGTTTATCTCGCTCAAAAAGGAAGAATATTATAATAAAGGTTTTTGGGCCATGATGTGCTGATTTTGTATCCTGTACAAGCGCTGTCACGCTGCATAGAGAAATTCATTAGTCAAATAAAAATTAATTGACAAATTTAGCAATGTTTATCTTGGTGGGAGCAAGGGTCCATGATGGTTATACATTCGACAGTCTGCTGGATTTTACTTAAATAATACACATATAAAGAATCATGTTGCCTGAACATCCCATTTCGCATTTTGGGGGAGGCTTGTTCTTTCTTGTAATTTTCCTTTCATTGGGTTAAAGCTTTTTGTCTACAAACATCAGATGTGGTAGTTAATATGGATTTTTGGCATTTATATTAGTGACTGTTGAAATATCAAGACCTTACATTCTTAACCTAAATAATAGAACATCAATCACCATATGAAGCTGATCATTGAAGAATGGTCTAACGACAGTTTCATTGTTCTTCAATTACTAGGGTATGTTGAACACATCCCTTTGTAATGACTTGTTTTATCACGTTTCTTTTGTTATTTCGCACAAAGTAAAAAAAAAATGTCATTTTCCTTTTGATTAGAAGTTGAAGCTTTTATGCATTTTATATGGAGTAGATCAATATCTTCCAAGGTTGACAAAGTACAAATTGAATATTTACACGCCTCAGTATATGTATGAGAAGAAGAGTGGTACAAGGTGGTTGTCCTCTCATAATCGTTGTTAGATCGTAATGAAGGGGTTCCTTGAATATCTCATTGTTGTTTTCACTTGTGCTGAGCTGATTATTATTCATGATTCGGTTGATCATTAGGAATTTTAGAAAATTGAAGTTTGTCTACCTTCTGAAAAAACAAGTGTCTGCCTGGTCTAATGTCTAATTTTCTGAGATTGTTTTACTGCAGGTTCAGCCCTCACCAACAACAGGAAAATTCCCATTTGCCTCAATTGCCAACTATAGGAACTCCACATTGCATGCAGATGTCCCCAGTAAGAGTGAAGATAATTTCTTCGAGGGCGTCAATACCTCATCCTTTGCATTCAAACCTGTCGCAGAATCTGGTCCCTCTCTTTTTCCTGGTGCAACAAACAAAGTAATTATACTCTTGAGAGATCTCATTTACATCTAAAACAGGAAAAAATCATTCATACTGTTGATCTTAGTGCTCTCCCTCTTAACACACCAATACCCACACACACACACAAACACATTGAGGAGTGTAATTTATAGCTGTAGTAATGATAGCTTCAGTTCTTAAAATTCTGCCTGCACTCCATAATGAGTGTGTTCCAGCATTTATATGCTACTTAAGCAAGAAGATAGTAAGTTGTCCTTGTTATCTAAGTAGTACTTTCTTTTCTGTTTACAGGTATCTCCATCTACTTTTCCTCAGCAATCGTTTCCCAATATTGAGGTTTCGGTTCGGTCAGAGAATTCTCTTCTGTCTCAAAGTGTAGAACCTTCCAAAGTCCCCCCGCAAAATGGAACCACACTTCATCTGGAGGCTGACTTCTCTAGATCAGTTGCCGAAAAGGTTTCTGGAGATAATAATATCTCATCAGATCCAAGGGTTTTTGATACTATTGGTGGTAGTGCAGAACATTCTCCACCTCTCGCTGAGCAGCCAGAGGAGGATGTAAATCAAAGAGGAAGTGCAGATCCCAATGCCATTGGTACCCCAGCTGAGGATGGGTATAATTGGAGAAAATATGGACAGAAACAAGTAAAAGGTAGCGAGTATCCACGGAGTTATTACAAGTGCACACATCCAAATTGTCCAGTCAAGAAGAAGGTGGAACGATCTCATGAGGGTCACATCACTGAGATAATCTACAAGGGAGCACACAACCACCCCAAACCTCCTCCCAATCGCAGATCAGTCCTTGGATCTTCGAGTGCACTCGGTGACATGCAACTTGACATCTCTGAACATGCAGGGGCAGGTGCTGATGGTGATCCAGTTTGGACAACCATGCAAAAGGCAACTGCTAATGGAGCCCCTGATTGGAGGCATTACAATCTTGAAGTCACATCATCAGCAGCGCTGGGCACTGAATACTCCACTGCACCTGCCTCTCTGCAGGCTCAGAATGGCAGTCAATTTGAATCAGCTGATGCAGTTGATGGCTCTTCTACTTTTACAAATGACGAAGATGAAGATGATCGTGGAACACATGGCAGCGTATCATTGGGTTATGATGGTGAAGGAGATGAATCTGAGTCAAAGAGAAGGTAAGTACATTTTTTGTGATGTGGAATGATTCCAGTTACGTGTTGCACAACAATATTAGATTTTTGGTGGTTGTTTGATATTCTAGGAAAATTGAAGCATATGCCACAGAAATGAGTGGGGCCTCCAGAGCCATCAGGGAGCCTAGAGTGGTGGTACAAACAACCAGTGAGGTGGATATACTTGATGATGGGTATCGCTGGCGCAAGTACGGGCAGAAAGTAGTGAAAGGAAATCCAAATCCAAGGTCAATAATTTTGCTCATGTTCATCTTTTTTGTGGTTACCCCGTCCACCTACATGATACAGCAGCAGCGTAAAACATAGTGCAACTATGTAACTAGAGATATTTTGTTGTTTTGACACAGGAGTTATTACAAGTGCACGAGTGCAGGCTGCACTGTAAGGAAGCATGTGGAAAGAGCTTCACATGACCTCAGGTCAGTGATCACCACATATGAGGGGAAGCACAATCATGATGTCCCTGCTGCTCGCAATAGCAGTCATGTTAGCTCGGGTGTTTCCAATACTATGCCAACTCAAACTGCTGCTATTCAAAGTCATGTACACAGGCCTGAACCATCACAAATTCACAACAGCATGGCAAGGTTTGAAAGACCTCCACTTGGTTCGTTCGGTCTAGGAAGTTCACAGCTTGGACCTTCTCATGGCTTCGGTTTTGGAATGAACCAATCAGGTCTGACCAATTTAGCAATGGCTGGGTTGGGTCCTAGCCAAAGCAAGCTACCTGTTATGCCTACTCATCCCTATTTAGGACAGCCACGCACAATGAATGACATGGGTTTCATGTTGCCCAAAGGAGAACCAAAGGTGGAGCCTATGACAGAACCTGGTCTGAACCACTCCAACGGCTCTTCAATTTATCAACAACTTATGAGTAGGTTGCCTCTAGGTCCTCATGTAAATTTATAATTTTTTTTTGACCTTTTTCAAAGAAAGGGCAGTAGAAAGTTACAAGTTTATAGTGAGATGGGTATTTTACTGCTGATGCGTCTTATTGTCGAATGGTTTGTTTTTTTTTTTTGAAAAAAAAATAAAATTCTTCAGAAATGATCCGAGAATGAAAATTTTTAAGATGTTATAATTAAATTTTCCCTTCTTTGAGGCGAATGGGGTTACGAGCTAATTTGAAAGATTAACATTGTTCTTGCAGCATACAAGGAGCAACTTTTATGAATTAACAAATGGAATAATTAAAGTAGTAGCAGAGACGAACTGTAAAATCAGACGTCCTAAGTTCGAATTTTGACAATTCTTTGAAATCAAGTTATTAGGAATTAATATTTCATGAATACCTTAGTTTCGATGTAAATAACTTATTTTTTATCGAATGGAGAAGGAGATTAGTTGAGATGTATATAAATTAGTTCAAATATTCTTGACCGTTAAACAAAAAAAGAAAAAAAAAGGAAATTAATTGAATTGTTCACGTGGAAGGAACCCTTGACAAGTTTTTGTGTATACGTCAAACTTTTGCTTAATACGGTTTTGATAAACGTCAAACTTTTGCTTAATACGGTTTTGATACTTCCAAGATTCCCATTAGTGCATGCTTGAACTTTGTGTAAGCGGAGCTATGGATTAAGGTCCTTAATTTGGCATGCCCCCAGTTTCAACGCATCACGAAGCAGCTTTTAGTAGCGTAACGTATTGTATTTATATATGCTATAAAAGGTGTACCATAGCATAATAGTACTACTTGATTTAATCATCTAATCTAATTTTGTTGATCCGATTCACTTTTTTGTTAGGTCAGCGACAAATTAAAATACACGAGACCTATCAGTGATGTTGTCATTAAATTAACAAATTAAATCTAAATAACATTATAACTCGACAATTTCAATGGTAGTCAGCTAACTCCCTTCAAAGAATCTTGACAAATGATGAATGAGACGAGATGAAGCATGACGAAACCATGAAACACGTAGGTTTCAATGGGGCTGTAGATAGAGCGAGCGAGCCGACCTGTTATGAAAGAGATGGCATGCAGGGATGAACAGCATGAAAAGAGAACTTCTCAAAGTCAACATTATTGCTTTACCTTTCCTTCTGAATGATTAAGATCAGAATTCTATGCATCAAGAATAGGAAAAGTCATAGTACGAAAATATAATCAGCAGATTCTGTAGTGAGGTCAAGCAAATAAAATAATATCCAAAAAAAAACGAAAAGAACCACTGCCTAAATGACTAAAACTAGCAGAGTCCAAGCAAAAGCTTAGCCTAACATGCATTTGCAAGATATAGCTTCACAACCAACTAAAAAGTTATTTTTTTTTTTTGGGAAAGTAAGCACTAAAAATTGTTACAAAGCAGATACTCGTCATATCAGCTTTGTATGTCTCTTAAGCCACAAAGAGGCATCTAATAAATTTGTAGACATCACGTATTGACCTTAAATATCTGTTCCGTTTCATTTTTTGCAATGAAATATCTCGCTTTAACTATTGGATTTGGAGCAAATTACACGTACAAAAAGTGTTTGTTGAATCACATTTGGGAAATGTAGATAAAAAGACAACCAATCACTACAATGAAATCGACCCCCCGAAATAAGGGATTCAGGAAAATATGTACTCGCTTAAACCAACAATTGATGCCAAGAATGGAAAATCCATAGCATAAATGGCTTCCACGACTTACTTTCATGGTGGCAGTCAAATATAACTTGGGTTTTTGGTATCACCTCATTAATGGCCATTTGCACTCATCTCCTCCTGATTGTCTTCTTTTCTCTGGTAGTTGACTGATTCCCTGCGTTTAATTTCATCTCTGCCAAGTAGTGTAAAATCAATCAGAAACAAGTTAATAGAAAGCCTAAGAGTGTACACAAATAAATCATATTCCTACAAATAGCAAATTCCAGAGAATGCGACAATAATTTCTGTTTCTACATCTCTTTCTCTCATCCAACCTCATGAAAAGTTACCGGAAAAAAATAAATAATAATAGCATGGAAAGTGCATAATTGCATTGATTCAAACTGAGTAGCCCGACTAACCATTCGTAACCAGGTTACATACAAATCCGGTTATTTAATTGAGAGTCAAATCTGTGAGACCTGTATCCCCAAAAAGGAAGGGGCAAACTAAAACTAAAAGTGCAAGTGACCCACCAAAGCACAAAAGACCATATCTATGAAGTCAAATGGATCCAGAATGGTGTGGCAAGCACATTCATGTTTATGCCCAGGTTTCAGACTAGTAGTACCGAGTAAAATGTAAAAGAAATGACCCAAGGCTTTTTTTTGGTGTGTATATTTTTGGTTTCATTTTCATAACCTTGAAGTTCAAAGGGTTTAACTCTGAAAAAAACAATCATATAGTCTGTCCGTTCAGTGTTTAAATTGTCACAACCCTTACCAATGCACAAAATATAAGAAATATCCAGGAGGCATACAAAATAGGCAGTCATAATTATGATTCGAAAATCGCATTGAAATTATCAGGATTTTTTTTTTTTTTTTTGCGGTATCAAAGCCCATTTGGTTTCTATATGACTTTTGAAATGGAGAACTATCAGATTTTGGTAAATTCAACCATTTTTATTCCCTTGAAGAAACACAACAAAGAAATCACACCAAACAAACCTAAGTTTAAGCAACCAAGAGATCATGAAGTATCAGTGTTTCTGAAAGAGCAAAGGCAAACAATACTTCGGACTGAAAAATTAGACAAGATATTTCAGACAACTTAAAACTCAAACATACGAACAGATGGGGAGACAAATATAAGATATGACAGAAAATAACCACTAACTAAAAGAAATGATAACCTGAGACAGTTCCAAATTGAATCATAATAAAGAATAGCAACTATTCTGCGTTTTCTTTCTTTTTGGAAATCTCCACCACGTTTAACCACAGGCAGTTGCTTTATTCCCTTGGCCTCCATTAGCTGCTTAGCAATTGCCAAATCAATATCCGGATAACAAGTTAGAAGTCCACAGTTTCGTCCACGGTAGCTTATCCCTCGAGTGTAGACAGAGGAAACAAGACATGTATTTGCCTGCAAAAAAAATTAAGATTACAATAACTTCAGAAAAGTTCATCATCTCTTATGAGTAGAGAACTGGAAACTGTCACAAAAGAAGACAGGCAAAGAGAATGGATTTTCTACATTTTCATAAAATTTTCACCACAATGCAAGAGCAATAGAAGCATAACATCATATCCACTGACAAGACATACATCAGGAAGTGACAAATCTCTGTTGGAAGCATCACCAGAGTTCTTGAACAAGGACCTTTTTATATCACCATATGTTAAAATGCCTTCTAGATAATCTTCAGAATCAACCACAAGAACACAACTCTGTTGGCCATCGTGCATGCATTTTAATGCCCCTTTCAAAGTTTGGGTCAGTGAGACCTTTAAATAGTTCTTTGACATAACCTGAGAAACCTGATTACAGCAGCAAAGACATAAAAAAGTTGATCCTACACTAATAACAAATGAACATGCTTCCAACCAGACAATAAGCAATGAAATGACAGGGACCAGCTTAATCTTAATTTGTAATCAGTTCAAAATAGCAAGAGGGAAAAAAACTCCAACCTTCAGATTTTCCAGAAATAGATTGTCATCAAGTGCTCCATGGTTACCATCATTTCCCATAACAGAGAGTTCTAAATCATCTCCACCATCAGTTTGTCCCCATTCACCTTCCCTAGTTTTGTCTTCAACTGGCAAAAGAATAGAGTAGCCTCTTGATAGACTCTTCGTATCAGATCCCTCCATCTCCTTGGACTGGTTTGTCACAGAAGGAACCCAAATTGCTAATCCAACAGCCCCCTGCTCGCAAATTTCATGATAAGTAGGTATACATAAACTAGAGCATGGAAATTGTCAGAAGGCATTCACAATTCCAAGAAACTTAAAAAAACATTAACAATTCTAAGAAACTTTAAAAACATTAAAAATTGAACTGTCGAGGAACCAGGGTACCAGGCCAACTACTTAGTCATACAATCAACAGTATGCGAATATAATCCAGGTTACCAGGCAAACTACTTAGTCAATGCACCCAAATTCCAACTGGGTAGTGTGATTCTAGCAAACCTTGCACCTGTGTATCCCTTCAAGGATGGCTCGAGAGTCGAGATACTCTTTAGGCTAATAGCACATAACTCTGAAGAAACTATAATGGTTGTTTATAAATGTATTGTACATTAACACTGCTAAAGCTTCAACTATCCATTGAATAAATAATTGCTGATCAATTTCCTGGGCAGATTCTTGTGATCCATTAGAAGTGGGCCATGTAGCTAATTCAATATATAGCTCACAATTGAAGATCTTGAAATAAATATTATATGCCATCGTCGTTTTGATTTCCAATATAGAAGATGTGCAAAAAAAGCATGCAAAATGCATTAGAAACTAACAAATAAATGTCTCTCGAAAATGGATCAAAGTAAAATCGGTAATGCACATAATTCACTAAATTTATATCATTGCCACAATCTAGAAAAAGGTGCTGTAGTTGATGAATTAAGTCAACAAAAAAAACAAAAATTGAAAATCTGAATGAAATGCTGTTACATGTTGCTTTATTTGACTTTATGCATGCAACACTAAGATCTGCATCTGAATTGTTGGTAAGCAAAAAGTACCATGAGGGGAAGCAAGATCCTGTAATCTTTTGTTAGCTCAAACAGAAGTAAAACTGAGGTCAAGGGTACTGAACACACTGAAGCTAATGTAGCAGCCATCCCAACCTGCAGTGTGATTTGAAAGTTGAAGAAACATGTGCAGGTCAGAATTAATCTTCAACAATCTAAAGCAGTACAGGCAAATAGTTACTTGTCCAGGCTAAAATGAGCCTACAACAATAGAAAAGCATTACCAGCGCATATGCTTGTGGCTGTGCAATAGCAGCATTTCCTGGAATGGCTGAATTAATTAGTTCTCCAGCCGAACCCCCAAACACAGCCCCCACGGCAGCACCTATCATTAAACTTGGTGCATACAACCCACCAACAAGCCCAGATCCCTTGCACAGGGCCGTTGCTACAACTTTTGCAGCAGCTAACTGAGCTAGCAACCAGATTCCAGGTGCTGATGCAGTCTTCCCAGTATGTAAAATTTCATCAACATTAGTGAAACCCCAGTAGAGTATTCCAGGATACTTAAGAGCTATTATTCCCGCTCCTAAACCCCCTAAAGCAGGGCACACAACAGCAGGAAGTCCAAACTTCTCCTTGATAGCCTCAAATGCCTTGTTGAACCAAACTACCAAGCGAGTGAACACTACACTTACCACTCCACATAGCATTCCCAGTATGAGATACAAAGGTAATTCTGCAAAGGAAGAGCAAAATATTAATAGAAGCTCATGATTCTTCAAATGGCAATTTAAGCCAGAAATCTCAATTTTCATATTGTTAGTACTACAAGGGGAACCCCACGACATGAGCATATAATTGGTTTGAAGTCTGGAGACCACCCTTTTATTTTCTTAGGGAAGTCCCTCTACACAAACATGTAAGAGCAATGCAGAATTTTTGTTTCTTTTTTCCTTTTGGGGGTGGGGTAACATTGCACTTGCTAGCTCCCCACCACCCCCAAACCAAAAAAAAAAAAATGGGCTTTTCAATGGCTTATGCCAGGCAGAAGTTCTGGCAAAGTCTTTTATATCTTCATGCTGAGGACTAGCTTCACAATTTGTGCCCATAGCTCAAATGTGGCATTGCAACAATGGAGTCGAATCTCTAATCCCATATGCATCGTGAACATAGTAGGATAAGAAAATATGTCAAGCATGTGATGTAAATATACAATTTCACAAAATACATGGTAGATCAGAAGAGGATTTGTACCTATATGCACCATTTCTTTTATTTGCTATTCTTTGCATTTTTGTTTTTTTTTTTTTTTTGGGGGGGGAATTGAGCAGGGTGGATATGAATAAGCAATGTTGATGGGATATGTAACACACTTGTTTTTTTCTTCTCCTGCAGACAAAATTTTGCATACCAACAACACTGCTAAATTGCTAATATAATTAGACGCATAGAACAGAGGATGGAAGGAGAGGCGAAGAACTGCTACCAAGATAGTCGATGCAATCTCATTTGCAAGACACAACTCAAAACCTAGAAATGACAACTGAGACAAAAGTGATGAAATAAAAAAATCCTACAACTATTTTCTACCCTACTCTGGAAAGAGCATGAACTTATTCAAAAATACGTTCATTAGAAACACATTATTCAAAGACAGATAAGTGTAAAATTATTTTGACATATATGAGAATAGTCACACATGTGCACACATGCATCTATACTCGTTTATGATAAATTGAACTGGAATTAGATAAAATACCAGCAGCAGATTTTAAATCATACGTGGGCACCGTGAAAGCCTGTTTCTCCCCTAGAACAGCATTTGATACAGTAGATGAAATAACAGATGCCAATATTATCATTGCAGTTGTAAATGGAGGAGAGTTCTCTGCACGCTCAGGCCTTAAAACAGTTTCAATAGCAAAGAAACAACCAGCGACTGCTGCATTGAAACCTGTCGCAAATCGAAGAACAAGTATATAATATATCAAGCAAAGTTCAAAAAGAACAATGAAAAAATAATGAAGAAAAAGAAAAGAAGGGGGAGAAACTGTCAGTGTATGAAAATATACATGTTTAATTAACGAATCAACAAGAAAGAAATGGGAAAAAGGAGCATTGATAGTTGCAAGCAGAGTTAAAGAACATCCACAAAAGGAAACTGAGTGAAAAATAATCTGCAGATCTATTCAGTTTATATCAGTCATACAAGATGAAATGAACATTCCATATGAGAATATGAGAATACAATTGACATGAGACAGACCCTGAGACAAAAACAGGGTATATTACATATTATATTTGTGGAAATAACTCATCCAGAGAAATGGGAAAACAAGTTAAAGCTCACTCGTGAATCTACCCTTAACCCAACCCTCTATGAAGGGAAAAGAAGTATTATTATCCCTAGACAACCCCCCAACACCGCACCCCCTCCCCGGGTGGGCGGCAAAAACCACCACCATCAACAACATAAAGAGTGAGCAAAAGATAAACATTTTGAAGCAATGCTCCCAATTCCTGCCAACCATAACGAAGACAATTTTTTTATATATAAAATTAATAATAAAGACAAAATTAGATTGCAGGTCCCTACTACAAGTTGAAAACAGAAGGTCGCAGGCCTCATCAATGATCAAGCAACTATTCTTTCCATCCCCCAATGCACACAAATCTTACTCGTTTTTCCAAACATAGTAAGTACATTTCCCAGACCAAATATTCAAGAAATTGTCAGTTCTCCACAAAACAAAAAAAATGTCCAAGAAGTTCAAAAGAGTCCTGCAATTGAAAGCCAATGATTTCAAACTGCACAATATACCTATAATGGACCTGCTGTTATTATTGGAGAGTAATCAACATACAAAATTTGTTGAGTGTTAGCTATCATAGAAAGCAGATTATGAGGATACCTGGTTCAAGACAATTAGCCGTACAACCAGTTTGATCATCACGCCAACAGAGCATCAAACACACAAACCAGTAACAACACATCATGATATGATCGACTAAGCAAACCACAGGGCGAGCAGAAGTTATTTGATCCATTACACATCGAATGATGACAAAGTATGTTGACCTCCAATGTAACACCAACCAACTATATGTACCTTTCAATCATATTGGAATCTTTTAAAAATTTCAATACTATTTATCATCTAAAAATATTTGGAACTTAACAGAAACAATATGAGTTTTGATAGCTTAGTATGTTCAAGGATAAATTACACAAGGTTTCCCCCTTGCATGCCTGAGAAACCCTTAATGCCAAATCACAATAAAGAAAAAACATCCTGAATTATAGGAGTAATTTATCATCCATGCAACTTAGAAAACAAACCAAACACTCTCACCACCAAACAAAAGGAAGAGAATAAAAAGCTCTCTACAAAGTGGTCATCTACAGTAAAATAAAGTGACAAGATCGGACACAAACAAAATAATGACTGTTGGTGCAAAGAATTCAAAACACGACAAACTGGATACCTGAAGCGATACCAGCAGCTGCACCTGCTGCAACAAGAGCAATTCTCCTTTCCCTATTGTTTTCCATCATCACAGAGCATCCATTGGCACATGATTTTCCGATATCTACACTAGGGCCTTCAGGACCCAAAGAACAACCAGTACCTAACGTTACAGCAGCCTGGATGGCTTTTACTATTGGAAAGACTCCAGCGAGCACATCAAAACCTTGTCCTTGAGAATAAGTGGACTGTCTTATTTGATCCAATATTTCAAGTAAACCATGCAGCATGCCAACAATAACTCCTCCTGTTACCGGTATTAAAAGTATCCGATGCCAGGTGTCAGCAAGTCTCTGCAAACGAAGCCAAGCAGCTCCCTCATTCGGAGTACCAGCCCAGGCCCATCCATGAATTACATGCACCTAAAGAAATTATTTCAGTATCAGTCAGTGTCAAAGAAATTAAATGCCTATTATGCTCGTTATGACACAACTTGCAACCAACCATGAAACCAGTAACCCATCAAACAGAAGTACACTAGACTGCAAGGTTACATAGTTAGTGGGACTACGACCATGTAGCAGAGGGTCATAAATATCCACCAACTGTGATGGATTAAGGAGACAGACACCAAGATTGCAAGGTATCTTCGCTTATAATTTATCATCTCAAGTACTTTCATGGTTTAGGAGGCGTTTGGAAACTGAGTGCATTCTTTTTCCCTGTACATGTACATATGTAGAAGTGTTGGATATACTCATACACACACACACACACACACATGCATGCATGTATGTATGTATGAATGTATAGAGAGAGAGAAAGAGAGGATGGAAAAATTTGTGTTGGAAACATGCACATCAGAAGTTCTTCAACAAAGAACTTTAGAGGATGAGGGTACACCAGCCCAATTAACCTTGCTTTTGTATGCGAAACCTGGTTGCGACCGGGTTTACCAAATCACTCTAATACCCTTGCAAACATTCCGAAACATGATAAAGTTTAATTCCCAAGCACATAAACTTGACAATCCATTTCCTACAAGAAAATAACTTTAACATGACGAATTTTATAAGTAAATGGAAAGCTAGTGTACTATAATAATGTTGTTCTTCAAGAAATTTTCATCTTTTAATAAAGCAAACCTCCCTTGTATTTAGAAATAACCGAACATATAATCTATCAGGAGATATTATCTATCAGGTGATAGGTCTATGTCTACCCCTAATGTGTTATGTCTTTGGATATTTGATGTACCATGTGCCCATTCCCTTTCCCATTCCAAGAACCGAAACTTTCCATTTCCCAAGTAGCATTGTCATCAACTTAAAAGAGGACCAAAGTAGATCTTCCTTTTTTAAAAGAGATGAAATTCTACAAGAGTAGAAATGGAGATAAGTTTCATCTACAAAACAAAAACTTGACTATGACAAAGACTGTGTAAATCAAATGACAGAAGTCATTCCATATTGGCATTTCCAAACACACCTCATTTATTTCAGTGCTCATGCACCTATGAAGCTTCTAGAGACGAGAGAGATCAAGAGCCAAAACTAAGAACCAGTGAAGGCTTCCAGATATTTCCTTTTTCAGGACGTGGATTCTCTAGGACAAAAGAAAACATATAAAACATTGCATTGAAGTGGACTGAGGATTAATTAACACCCTCTCTCCTATTCCATCTTCACAACACCATGTATTATCAACTATACCAACCATAAAGCTATACCCCTTAAACCACAGAGTGCATGCAGTTAAGAATGTTAGGATTATCTTTCAATCAAGTGCCACTGCTTATAGCTGTGAACCACTGGACTCCAGATGAACAATTTTGCTCGATGGACAAAGTATGACATACATATTGTGAAGATAAATAGACCATCATACTTACTAAGAAGCTCAAATACAATTAATGATGCCTATATATAATCATTTTACATGAGCAGCACATGGTCAATTATTTCCGGAAGTCAACATATGGGAATCGAGGGAACAAATTTGGTTTTTTTTTTTTTTTAATGTAAGCATAACAGCTATGTATCCAAGGTTGAAATGGCAGCATTTTGAAATTGAAGATCAACCAAGCTAGTAAAATGTCCTATGATAAAAAATAATAATCGTTCAGGTTAATTAATTCACACACAACTCCGGTGCATATGCGCTCAACTTAACATATAGCTATCAGTTTAATTATCTGAAGCAGACTGCACAAATCTGATATTGTAGAGTTCTCTATTACATTTATGCGCTATTATTGCCTTTTTCCACATCAACCCATGTATTTTTTAGCCTAATTTTTGTCTTTGCAGCTACTTCAACCTAAGCTATACAACCCTTCCCTCAAGGAACACTATTGCCCTTTAATTCTAGTGAAAAATCACCATTGCCTCCAAGCTCTCACCTGGCCACCTATAGCTGCAACTGTGAAATGGGTGTATTTAATGCTAATTGTATTTCCCCTTGTACTGCTTAACATCCTTCTTTTACACACAAGCTAATCTAAGCAGATTTATCTTCTCTATTCATTTATTGTAATCAACATAGGTGACAAAGAAAGCCTTGTCCTACTTAATTAATCGCACAACCATGCCATTTTCAATTGGAAGTGAATAAACTGTCCTAAATCTAAATTTCATCACCGTAAACAAGCAACAGATCTAGATGAAGCAAAAATACCAAATTAGCCAAATTGATATCAGATAACGACATATTGTTGACATAAAAATAAATGTGTGCATGTATCAACGGCATTAACTGACCCCTCGGTTGAAAGCAGCGACACAGAGACCAGTGGCGAGGCCAAGAAGGCAACCAATGAGCAGCAACGCCCATTCAGGAGGAGCACTATCGCCGAGGATCTCATCACCACCGCTGCCACTACCGCCGCCGTGGCCAGCATGATCTGGAAGCGGAGAATGGCCCCTCTCCGGCCGGTGATCCCTATCGGGCCGCTTGATACTCAGACGGCGTCCCGAAAACCCTCGATCCAACCGTTTAAGCAGATCTCTAATGCCTTTCTTACTCCTTGGAGATCCTTGACCTTCCAAATCCCTCTCTGAAGTTGACGAATTCGATATCAGCAATATATTTTGATCGCTGAATTCGCCTCCGGACATTTGAACCTCACAAATCACAATCCCGTTGCAATGAATTTACAAATCTACAACTATACTTGCATAATTATGGTATTCTGAGTCCGTGAATAATAACTAGACAGCTTCTGATGAAGATCATACGAGGAAATCGTGAAAGACAATCCGTAAACGATGCCTTAATCACATTCGCGAACTGATTTTTTTGCTTGCTTTAGATCTTACCTTCCTAGAAATTTCTCTTTGGATCTTACGAACAGGGATAGATCTATGTAGAAAAGAAAAGCTTTCCGGAGGTTTTCTCGACGTGCAAACAGGCAGTCGGAAATTACAGTAGCTCGGTCGTGCGCCCAAAAGATTTGGGTGAGTGTCATTTTATACCCCAAAAAATTTATAGAATTTCAATTCGTAATTTAAAAATTACATTTTTTACATTATACTCATAAACCAAAATAAACCTTAAGTCATAATAATTTGGCATCAGCTTTATTAGTCCGTTTTCGCCGTTCATTTCGGTTATGCATTATACACTCGTTTAATTTAAATATTTTTTTATTATTTTATTCAATGTTAATTTAGGTTTATCTATACTCCTAATATCATTATTAAAAATTCTATCACTTTTTTTAACCAATGCCTTTATCGGGCTCTGTTAAACATGATTAAACTATCTTAATCTATTTTACTTCAATTTATCCTCAATTGAAACTACTCTTACTATTTTTCTAATATGGTTATTTCTTATTTTATCCTTTATAATTTTTTCGTATATCCATCTTAATATTCTCATTTTTTCTACGCTCATTTTTGTCACTATGTTATTTCCTAATTGCCCAATATTCTATCTTATACAATATTAATATCTTTATAGCTATTCGGTAAAACTTACCTTTCAATTTTATTAGTATCCTTCTATTACATAATAAACTAGAGGTTTTCCACTTAAATTAGTTGGCGTTGATTCTATGATTATTGTTTCCAATCTCTCTATTATTTTTAATATCGATTCTAAATATCTAAATCGTTTACTTGTTTATATTTCATGATTTTCAATTTTAACTTTTTCACTATGTGACTATGTCTACTTCTTCTATTACTAAAATTACATTGCCTCTATTTAATCTTGATGATGCAAAAAAATGAGTTTATGCAAAATTAATTGAGGATGAAGTAAATAGGGCTCAACACAAGCAAATACAAAGATTGAGTAGTTTGGTCTAGATAACCTACTCCATTGAGAATGAGGTTGGTAGCTGAAAATTTTTATTATTTGAGAGGTGTAGTGTGCTGAAATGTGTGTGATACCCCTATGTGCAAATAAGACTTACAATTTATAGGGGAATATAATCTTTATGGTGCCCTAGAACTAGCTTTAATAGAGACGTCACCCTTGCAATGGGAATGGATGGTTTCGTGATGTTGGCGTAACGGATGAGGTGATTGAGACTTGTGATGTGTACCTTGATTCTTTTTTTTAAGAAAGAGATATCACGTGTGTCATTAGTAAATTGAGTTTTATAAGACGATGGGCTTGGTCGGGCGGGGCTGCACGTATGATCTAGACCTAGTTTGTATTTCTAAACTAGGCATCTGAGATGGACTTGGTCTATAATTTTGAATTGGACCTAATCTGGGCTGTGCCCATTAAACCTTACTCCTACTGATTTTAAATTCATTTGACCGGAGAGTGTCTCTCTCTACATTTTTGACTTATTGTTAATTTTGTTTCGAGTTTCATCTACTAAGATGATTATTAGGAAAAAAATTGAGTGTAAAATTTCCATTTAAATTATTTAAAATTGAGTAGTTACTATCTCATTCAAATCTAATTTTATTTACTTGTACCTCTTGCGGTAGCATTGATATGTATTAAATCACTTATGTCATTTATATAATACTATTCCCTTTTATAAACTTTGTTCAAATCACTTGAATCGATTATATCTCAAATAAATTTGATTGTATAAATTTTTTAATTTTACAAATATAATCATTTTTGCTTTACCATATATTCATTCTAATATCCGTATTTTTGCCACACTTAATTTTTGATCTTGTTATTTTTAGTTGCTCAATATTTTGTCTTATAAACAATTTAATCTTTAAAAATGTACAATAAAATTTTTAAAATCTTTTAAGTTGGGGTTTTGTGTGTGTTGTTTTTTTTTTTTGTTTTGTGGGGGTGGGGGGGGGGGGTGGGGGTGGTTTAATGAAAATAAAAAAAACAAAGAGGAGGTGCAAAAGGAACGATTAACGGGCACAACTTGTAGTGGAATTCTCATATTAATGCACTACAACATCACAAAGTGCTAAGCCTTGTGGTGGCAATACTTCACAGATTAGCTAACGACAACAATGCTTATAGTTTTTCTTTTTTTAATGTCAAATCACATGCCACTCATGGTCAAATTAAATAAAATTTGGTCTAAGTAGGAGGTGCTTAAATGAGAACTGAACTAGTGATCACATTCGGTTAGCAACACCTCACTGTTCTATTCCTCAAGAAAATAACATGAAGCTATTGCAAATAAGGAAAATACTTTATTATCACAAAAAGAAGAGGAAAATAGATTTATTATTCTTTTTTTTTTTCTAGAAAAGGCTGAGGTAGAAATAAAAATAAGGGTAATTTAAAAGTCGGTACAAAAATTTAGACTTATTTGAGATAAATTACATTAGAAATTTTTATTTGGCTCTAAGTGCATTTAAAAAAAAAAAAACTAAAATGTCATTTATTACTCCATTACTCTCTCACTCTCTCTTCCCTATTTTATCTCTATTTATTTCTCTCACTCTCTTTCTTTCACATTGATAATTTATTTATTTTTTAAATATATAAAGATTTAATTTAATTTTTTCATCTCTCTCCCCTATTTTTTTTTCTCTCTCTCCATTTATTTCCTTATTCTCACTCTTTTTATATAAATATTACAACAACACAATTACACTAATCAGTTACACCAATTAGTTACAATTACCTTATACTATGCCCAACAATTACTCATGTATTCTAATAAAACAAACAGTTACACTAAATAATTATACAAAATTACAACACTAATTTAATTTATCATTTAGTTGTTTACATAAATCAAATAGTTACACCAATTATATACATTGAATTGGATTTATCATTACACAAAAGATTGATAAATTTGGAATATATAATTGGTGTAACGATGTCGCGATACTAAATGATGCAATTATTTAGTTTATGTAAACTATTAAATAACAAATTTGGTTAATATCATAATTTTATATAATTATTTGGTGTAACTGTTTGGTTTATTATATGAGTTAGTATAATAATTTTGTGTAATTGTTTGGTGTAACTGTTTGATTTATTAGAACGCATGAGTAATTGTTTGATGTATCATAAGACAATTATAATTTATTGGTGTAAATGATTAGTGTAATTATCTTGTTGTAATGTTGATATATATATATATAGAGAGAGAGAGAGAAAGAGAAAACATGGAGAGAGAAAAACAATTAGAAAAAATAGGAGGAGAGAAAGAATATGGGAGATAAATGAAAAAATAAATCAAATCTTTACATATTTAAAAAGAAAATAAATTATTAATAATAGATAGAGAGAGAAAATAGGAGAGAGAAAATAGGAGAGAGTAATGGGGAGAGAGATGGAGAGAAAATAATGGAGAGATAGTGAGAGAGGCTAGTAAAATCTTTACATATTTGATTAGATATATAACTTCCAATCAATAATGCATAATTTAAGGGAGAGTATTAAGGTAAAAAATATTTGATTTAATTTAAAATTTGTACCTAAACACAATATATTTTATTAAAATTGAACTTAATAGAATAAACAACTTATTTATATTCGTTTCTTCAAATAAGTCTAAAATATTATACTTACACTAAAAAAATCCTAAAAATAAAACTAGCTTAAACTTTTAGAGTAGACTTTTGTTTAATATTATTGGGCACGAGTTTTTAGTTCATTAAGCGCACTTAGTAGGTAGAGCGACTTGCTCTCTCATATGGCTCAGGATCCCTTATTATCAACTGATGTGAAACTCGTCGACACCTCAACAGTCCTTCTTTCGAACAAGCTTTATAATGGATGATCATCATTGTTCTCTCATCTAACAAAAAGAGTCAAGTTCACACGATAACTTGAGTCATGACTTTGATACCACTTGTTGAACATGTGTATTTAGTCCAAAAGGCGTATATAGTAAGTGGAGTGACCCACTTCCTTATGACCCAAGACTCTCTAATCACCAATTAATGTAGGACTCGTTTGACACAACCTAGGTACGAGTTTATCCCTAGTATAATATCAAAACAGGAGGTTTAAGATTTTAGAATTTAGATCCCCCGATTATCCCAGAATAACATTATGGCCACGTGGCAGTGGCAGTGGCAGTGGCGGTGGCTGTTTGGTTCACGGGAGTTGTGATCAATTTATTAATTGGAACTGGTGTTTGTCGTTTGGTCTCGGAGACTCGGGCCCCACATGGGTTTTTTTGAGAAATCCACAAAAAAAATGTTCCTATATGAAAACGACGCCGTCTCCAACGATTTGATTGGCTCGAGACAGTGTCGAATCATTTGACTGACTCACCCATTTGTTTGGTTGTTATTGTTATTGTTTCTTCCTAATCCCTCATGTTAGACTAGCCATTTGGGAGCAAGGGAAAAATTGATGGATTCATTTTTTTATTTGCCATAGAGCATCAAGTCTGTTACTAATTCTTTTCTTGAACTCAGCAGCGGATCATTATTACTTAAATTGAGTTAGAATATTTTTGTAGAAGGATAAGACTAACTAACACTTAAGAAGTGTAAAAAAAAATTACCCTTAAAATCTTTGAGTTACTAAAGACCAGTCTCACTATCAAACTATCCCTAAGAGTTGATGAATGAATATTGACGGATATTGGTGGTAATCCAATTGTGTTTTGACACGTGTTGACCCATGGCAATCTAGGCAATCAAGACCTTTCGAGACCAAGGAACATCGTGTACCTCGAGTATTAAATAAAATTAGTGTTCAAACTTCGAATAACGTGTTAACATGACCAGTTGTGGTTGTTCAGAAGTTGGGAGAGCTGTGAAGTCCTTGGGCTCGTGTTTAAAGTGCTTGAGCCCAGCTCGCAAACATATTACCTAGGCATTTAATGGTCAAGATGGAGTCATCAATGCGCAGCTCACTCTAACACGAAGAACTCTGACATTAGGTTACCTCACATTAATGAGGTGTAACATAGACACTCATTATGCTAGGCGAATAGATCAGGCCATTAATGGCTAACATGTGAAAGATGTCGAGGCAATAGTAGGTATAAGTACTAAGAAAAAACACAAAATGAAGATACACAAACTAAAAACACTCTGCATTGAATACTCTACACACTTACAAGCCAAGTGACTTAAGTTTCAAAGAAGATAAGTTGAGTGTTCACTTGATCTCGTTTCTTAAATCTCGTTTCATTTAAAAGATTATCAGCGTGGATCATTATCTCAATTCATTGCAGGTATTCTCACGTACAAATACAATATTATTTCACTTAAAATCACTACTAATTAAGCCAACCACTAATGACACACCAAGAGCAGTCCGATCCCCTATTCGATCAATCCGCTTTTTAGAAATATAAATTCGGACCCAGTTCCATCTACTTCTTTAATGAGTTCATGTCCAGTAGAAGAACAAGAAGAGACTGATTGTTTTTGTATAAGCTAATTAGTGAATTGACATGATACAGTGGAATCAAAACTGAGCTACCCAAGTTTGAGGCTGATTTGTTTTGAAAGAAAAAAACATCATATCTTACTCCTCATCCGAACTAACTTTGCCAATGTTTCTTGAGCTGCCAATGTTTGAGCATGGTTATGGCCAAGCATTACTGTCCTGATACTGATACAAGTTCTGCAGAGCTCTTCGCCGCTATCAAAATGTCCACCTCTCAGCAACAGCTTCGCTCTGGTCTCGAGCATCGTAGCCTTCAACAATGTCACTTCTTGCCATACATACTCATCCACCCTCTGATTGGATTGCAACTTCTTTTTCCAGCAAAGTGAGTCATGGCACCAATCTTGTATCTGAGAGACAAACGATTTCTCCACTTCTTCCAGGACATTTGTGCAGACTTTCAGGAGCTCCAAGGCTGAGTTGCACCTTGAGAAGGTAGTGAAGGCTCCAATTGCAAGAGGGAGGGCTGTTTTCTTAATGAAGAGAACCATATCGATTGCCTTAAGCTGCACTTGTGGGGGATCTGATTTGAATCCGAAGACAAGGAAAGCAGAAGCCCAAAGGTGATCAGAATTCACCATATGATTTCCAATTTTCCTAACACCTTGGATTGTAGACTTAGCAGTGGCTAAACCATATTTCCTTCTTGCAAATATCTGAGTTATGGGGTGGAACTGGATCCAACATCCAGGCTGTCTATTAGCTCGTCGTGCCAAACCGAGCTTAACTAAGAGAAGGGCTGAATCCTCTTCACTCTTCCATGTTTGGCTTGATGAACAACCACCCGAACAACAACAGAACGCAACATTCATGCATTTGGTCCACTTTCTAAACCTGTTTCTCGGGGCAGGCATATTCTTAGCTGAGGCAGCTAGTAAATTTGCTGAAATGGGTGCTGGGGCAAACCAAGCTCCTACTTGAACCATTCTTAAGGCAAGGAGGTTCCTACTCCCTTTGCTTTGCTGCAAGACCGCAGTGCAAAAAGCCAGGACTTTCATAAGGAAAGGATTGGTTCTGCAGAATTGCTGATCAGCAATGCTCGAATTACAGCAATTAGAAGCTTCCTCAAATGAGACCTGGTTCACAGCTTCAAAGAGAGAAGAGGGCAAAATTGCAAGTTCAGAAAGCAGTGAACCAATCACACACAACCCATAACTTGACCTCCCCAATTGCTCATCAAACTTCCCCAAGTATTCAACCTCACCAGCCGGATATTCTTTCTTCCGTTTTCCCCTAACTAATATCATTGCATCAGACAATGGCAATGGCTGAAGTTGCATTGGATCAAAATTCATCACCCTGGAGAGCCTTGCTGTAATAATCACATGAGACCCTCCAGTGTTCCTTGGTATTAGGTCATGTAGATCCTTCCCTTCCCACCATTCCTTCTCACTTTCTAGATTGTCAATAATCAGTAAATAAGGCATGTCCCGAAACAACTCCCTCTTAACTCTCTTGAATGCTTCTGATTCCTGCTCATCAAAACTCCTGATCCTCCCTCTTTCCTTCTCGGCATCAGCGCTTACATCCAAGCCCAAATTGAGCGATAAGTTGAGGATATTCTGCCTGAAATATCGAGCTTCACCACTTACCCACATAACCATCTTGTATCTCTGGGAATATCTGTGAGCAAACTCCAATACAAGCTCTGTCTTTCCAACACCAGGAGCTCCATTTATGCAGACCACACTGCTGCCAAAGCTCTTGAATTTCCCACTTTTCGACTTCTTGTATTTAGGCCTTTTCTGTGAATTTCTTCCAATAACTGGTTCAACCCAAGACTCTAAATTTGGTCCTTTGCACTTGCCCAGTTCCAAATTTATATATCTCCCTCCTCTGTTAGTGTCAACTTCACTTTCCTCATCTGCAAAACACTCAGATTGCCCTGGTGTTCCTCCTCTGATAATTGGCATCTGAGTTTCTTGTTCAAAATAATCCCCACCACACCCAAACAATGCAGTTTCAATCTCCGTAATTTCGTTCTCTCTTCCCACAAAAAGTTTGTTTCTTGGAAATGGCAACTCTTCAAACCTTTCTACTTCCTTCTCAGCAAGGCTCTTCCTTCCAAGCTTTGCCCTTAAAATTCCAGCAGCTTTTGATACACAGGTTCTCCAATTACCCTCATTTGCCTCCAGCTTAAACTCATGGGACTTGATTAGCCCATCAATTGCTTCTTTGCATTCTTTATTGTCCAGATTGTGGTTAACAAGATTTTCAATCTCATTTGGGTCAGTGTCAAAGAACAAAGGGATCAAATTCTTCTTTTGAGCAAAGAACCTGATCTCCTCCAAACTAAGATGGTTATGAAGGCTATGACTAGTGACAACCACAACCCCAAACGTCACTGAGCAAATGACTCGGTCTGCAATCTCATGGCTCTGATTGTCCGAGTACTTTGCCCTGTCTGCAACAAAGCAAGCAATACCCTGTAGCTCCAGCTCCGATTTAAGCCACTTACAGAAGCGAACTAGATTGTGGTTCTGACCATGGAAGCCAATGTACACATCACAGCTCCTGAGTTTGGCATTTGAAGCAGGCGAAACAGAGCCTTTTGCAAATGAAATTCGAGGGACAGGAAATGAAAATGAAATCCGAGGAGCTGTGTCTGGACCTGAAACTGGAACACAGGTCACAATTTTGAGCTTTGTATTGTTGGGTTCATCAGGAAAATCGTATCGCTCAGATGGGGGAGTGTAGGAGGTGCTGGGAAGATCATCGGACTGAGACCCACAGTACGAAACAGGTGGGGATGGGTGGGTGAGGGTTTGTGTAGTGGGGGTGGGATTTTCAGAGGGAGGGTTTGGGACTAATGTGGCCCTTGGAGATATGTATGGTGACTGTAAAGCTGAAACAAATGCTGAGGATGGAGGAGAGATTAGAGAAGGAGAGTTATATGGTGATGATGCTACTGAACTTGTTACTGTGTTGGTAATAACCTCCTTACTGGGTTTATGGCCGGAAGTTGCAATCTTGATGGTGAGGGACTTGGTATCCACGGCTGGGATTTCCCCGGAAAGTGGTGCTTCATCAACCAT